TTTTATAACATAACGTAGGGAAATAGCTTTTTTTTTTAAAATGTCGGTCCTTTTTTCATTAGATAGTAAAAAATAAAACCCCCCAGTGGTGATTAAATACCACCAAAATAAAGCTCTATCTGTCCCCAAAAAATGGTATAAAATTAATTTCAGTACAGCGTTGCATGACGGAATAAATGTCAGTCAAAGTACTGCAGTGCTGAATACTGAAAAATGGCCTGGCCAAGAAGGTGGTTTAATAACCCAGTCATAAAGTGGTTAATGCAGAGACCCTAAGTACATACATTTAAAAGCCAAAATAAAATGCATTTTAGCATGTAAGTGAGAAATGGGTCTGCTGGTGAAATGGTTAAATGCTTCAAGAAAGTCACTGAAAGTTTTGTAAATGCTTTCCGTACACATTGCTTTTATACAAGATCAAGCCCCCATGTAAAAAGCCAATTCCTGTATTGCAGTGGTTTTGGCATTCTCATCTGTGGCTTCATTTGGCTTCCTCCTCATGTTTACAGATCTTCAAGGTGACGCTAAACTCATGAGTTAAATCTTAAAAATTAATTAAAGTACCTTTAACTATTAACAAAAATTTAGATAATTTGTGCATTACTCGGCTGTAAATCATCTCTGAATTTATGCTGATACTGTCCTCCATTCTGGAGGGTGGCTACTTTTGCTCTCCATAGTCCCTGTGTGTGTTGTAAAGTAGCCACCGCTCCAAGTTTGCTCCTGTGATGGACTACAATCTCAAGTTTAGTTTACTCATTTGTATTGAGATTTTAGTCTATCACAGGAGTGAGCTTGGGAGTGGTGGCTACTTTACAACACACACAGGGACCACCACCATCCAGAAGGAAGGACAGTGTCAGCACCAATTCAGAGATGAATTGAGGATCTACAGCTAAATGATGCACAAAAAAAGCTACATTTTTGTCAATAGTTAAAGTGACATTAAAGGATAATTTTTTTTTCCCCTCCCCCCCCATGTTAATGTTAGCACTTACCTTAAATGATGTCTCTTAATCCGATCTTCCTCTTCTTTCCCCATGTTTTCCTCTGTCCCTCAAGCGGTGCGTCGGCTCTCCGATCCAGCGCTGACTCCTCTCTGCTTACAGGCACTTCCAAACCAGCGGTGTCTGCAGGCAGGTGCACGCGTCCATAGACTTACCTTGCGTCTCTGCTCGTCTCCTGCCCTAGAATCTGAACTGCGCATGCTCCCGCCCCAAGATCCTTTGCGGCTGCACGAACAGTTCCGGACTCTTGCAGCGGGAGCGCGCAGCGATAATGAGGTCAGTCTAAACCGCTGTTTAGGCGTTTAAAACCAAAAAAAAACTTTTTGCCTATATCTACTGCTTATTAGCAGTAGATATAGGCAAAAAAACGGGAGGCTTTAGAACCCCTTTAAGGTACTTGAATGCGGGGGGCGTGGCCGCGATGTGAGCCTGAGTGCACGTGTTCAGTGAAGCTCCGTTGCCTCCGCTCGTGACATCCTGTTCTTCTCCACTTTAATAAACAGAATTTTTCAAAAAAAAAAAAAGGTACTTGAATGCATTTCTAAGATTTAGCTCCTGAGTTTAGTGTCACTTTAAAACAGAGAAAGCAGTGCTGGGAATAAAGATTGATCGGCTCAACAAAGCGGCCAGCACAGGCAAGGCACACCTGTTTTTTTTCTCAGCCAGAGTGGCAGACCATTCCAGCCGCAGCACACAAAGTAGTTAATTGACTGACTTACGAAATCTACTTCTTCCTCCTCCCAGGCACAGAGCAGTCAGAAATCAACCAGCATTGCTGATGCACGCTCATACTATTCCACTTATCCTACCATAGTCCTGCAAATTGGCCTCAAGTAGTCAACAAAATTATTCAGTCACACTATGGCTTGCTGCAGGCAGGAAAAGCCACAAACATTATCACTACTATGCTAAGGGCATGTAAGCTCTCCTGTCAGGATATTATCATCGCACACCAAAGGCCTTCTTTTATATGGTGTTAGTCTTTCAACCTTGACTCTAACTTTCTACCGTTCGGTATGGATCAGCAATTGGCACAATACCTTACCTTGGTGTCTCTTTCCTTGGTATGTACATTAGCCCAAGGGCTTACTCACATCGCTCCCTACATGTTAATAGTTTGCAGGCCACATGGGATCTTAATTTTGTTATTTCTGTTCTACAGAGGCCCCCTTTTGAAATGCTAAAGGAGATTTCAATGTCTCAGAAGCTGGCTTTTCTTCTTGCCACCACTTTAGAGGGGCATCAGGTTGGCAGTCTTGTCTTTCAAGGAGCCTTTTCATAGCCTTCATAATGATAAGGTAGTCCTGAGACCAAGACCTTCCTTTCTGCCTAAGAGTTTGTTTATTATTTTCAATTCGGTTTTGCTGCTGGAGAAGCCGCAAACAGAGGAAGATCATAGCTATGTGCAAGTCTTCCTTTTCTTCTCTGGGAGAGAACAGACAGTGGCAAGTGAGGAGGAGAGTGGAGAGCACAGCAAAAGAGGGTAGTTCATTGTCTGTCAGTGCTTCAGAGATAGCCATGCTCCAGGCAGGGAGTAGGTGACGCACAACTGTTTAGGTCATCATATTACATGGTTTTAGTAGATCTAAAGTTGACTGTACAGTCGGATTGTAACATGTATAGGGAGCCCAAGGGATTACGGTCCCAATTTTTAGGAAGATGCTTTCCACTCTGAATTGAGGACTGTTGCAACTGTTACTTCTGCCCATCAAAGCAGGCCTAGTACTACCTGATGAAAACACATGAAATTAGTCAAAAGTAGAAGGTATACTGCTGTCTGTAAGAAAATCGAATTGTATAAGAAAGAAAAACACTAGTTCCATAGCCAAAAATACACTGCCAAAGTACACTATCACTGAGGCTGTCCCTGAAAACCGTGCTTGTTCCGTAACACCATGTACAGCTTTAAGGCATCCCCAAACCTGTCATTTAATATGTGTATTTTCCATAGCACCCTCAAAGCCATATGAAAAAGCTCTCCTCCTGTTGCATTTTTTTGCAATGACAAAGGTCTTGACAGTAGTGCCAAGCTTCTCACACTTGCCCAGCAGCCTCCCAAAAGGCCACAATCGTCAGAATTTGCCTCCCATTGCCTACAATGCAATTCACTTTGGGCAATTTTTGTAACAGTTTGCAGAACTCACACATAAAATTCTGGTTGATTGCCTCATCAATAGTAATATGCAAATACTGCAAGCCCCATATCAATTCAACATACAATCATTTGAAAGCAAAGCTTATTTTACATTTATTTAAAGCCTTTCTTCATTTAAAAAAAACAATCCTCCCATTGCAGTGTGGCTACCCCCATGCTTATATGCTCGTTTCTTGTCTAGAGGATATTTGTAAGGGATAGTTCGCACTATAGAATTGGACTAAAGGCACGGATACCATGCAATTGCACAGTGCATTGCCCCACACGCTAGGTCCACTGGTGCATTGCCATTCATTCTTAATGGCACCGCAACACACATCCCAGTGGGAGTGTGTAAACAATATTTTTTTTCACTGCATTGCATTACGCACGCACACCCACCATTGGGTGCATTGGGGTGCAATTCAGAATGAAAAGCAACACATTGTACCAGCACACCTAGCATGTGGTGCATTGTGCTGTGTGATAGTGTGCACTGAACTAACAGACACCATGACTATGTAAAATACATTCAAGTACCTTAACTATTACCAAAACTGTAGACGTGTATCACTCGGCTGTAGATCCTCAAATTATCTCTGAATTCATGCGGACATTGTCCTTCTTTCTGGTGGGGGGCTACTTTTGTTCCCCATGGTCCCTGTGCATTGTAAAGTAAAGTAGTCACCGCTCCAAGCTCACTCCTGTGATGGACTATAAATTAAAATACACATTAGTAAACGGTAGTGGGCTTGGAGAGGTGGCTATTTTACAACACATGGGGAACAAAAGTAGCCACCCTCCAGAGGGAAGGAAAGTGTCAGCACCAATTCAGAGATTATTTGAGGATCTACAGCTACAGCCGAGTGATACACAGATAAACGTAGAAAAAGTCCCTCTGCACTCCTTACAGCGTTCCCGGCCCAAATTGTAATGCTGGTGCTCGCAGTGATAATCACGGATGACGTCACAAACGAAAGAACCAACGTTTCAGGGCCGCACAGGGTTGTCACATTATCACCCTGAGGAAGGGACCCTGTGCGGCCCCGAAACGTTGGTTCTTTCGTTTGTGACGTCATGTCCGATTAAATGGACGTCTACCATTTGAAAATGACTTCTTGAGTGCTAGTGATTTCTGATACAGATAAGGTGCAGTATTGTTAACAATTAATATACTTGAATGCACTTTTAGGGTTTAGTGTCACTTTAACCTAACCGGCCTTTTACTTACCTGATCCACGCAGCCTCTTTCCCCCTCCGACGAGTGGAGACCTGCCGACATCATCATCACATCTAATGCAGGGCCCATAGCCCTGCATTATACATGATAATGGGACAAGGTACAGTCCAGGTGCTGCAGTATAGGTGAGTACCGACTGCTGAGGGGAGATCAGGTAAGTAGACATCATCTGCACCATACCTGTAGACGAAAAAGAGCATTTAACCCTTGCAGCGCATGTGTAGCCCTACTGTAAGTGTATTTTTTTTTTTTACTGGGGGATAGGCTTTACATACATGCATATAGATATATATTTCTATACAAGTTTATAAAAATGTGTACACGTTCGTCTTTCAGTCACGCATTACTTCGTGTTTCTGTACCATGTGTCAGTTCCATTAATACAGTCAACGGATTTCTCCCAATGGTGAAACTAAGCAGAGACACTCTCCCTACAACAGCACAAAGCCTCAGAACCGGGTTCACATCTGCAACTTTGTGGTGCTGTGCAAACACGGCGGCTGATAGGTTCCTCGGGAACACTACATTTCCCACACCCCAAGCCGCCATAACTCCATGAGACATCAGAGGCGGATCCGCTTCCATGTCCAATGAAAGCTCGCCTTATTTCCAGCCAAGCGGCCAATGGAAGAGTGAGGTGCTGGCGGCAGGAAGTGAGCTCATGGACCCATGTGAGCAAGCTTGGATTGCAACACATGCACCAGCAGCCGCGGCGAAGAAAGAAGCCGGTTTCTACGTCACATCTGGGAGCTGGGGTTGCCTCCATCGAAAGCGGACGTTGAGCTCCAAGCTGAGAGCCGAGGATAAGGGGGACAGGTGAGCGTCAGGAGGCCGCCTGTTGCGGTAAGGCTTTGCTAGAACGAGGCTTTGCCGGCACCGTTGTCGCTAACCGTGTGCTTTTCTGTCGTACAGCTCTCGGCTTTAGACAGGAGGAGGAGAGAAGATGGCGGACGATCCGAGTGCGGCAGACAGGAACGTGGAGATTTGGAAAATCAAGAAGCTGATTAAGAGCTTGGAGGCGGCCAGAGGGTGAGTGTGAGGAGCGCTGACTCAAAGGACAAGCGGAGACGTGGAGGAGATTGTAGGAAGAGCAGACGGAGAGAAGGCCGCAGTAGGGCGAGCACGCTGCTGCCTATCCACCTCCACTGCGCTGGTCAATGCCTCACCCACACTGCTCATCTGCCGTGTACCTGGGGGGTGGGGGTGGGTTAGCAGTTAGCATACGCTTTCCTCTATGGGCCACTAGACCTATAACCTCTGGTGTCTGGGCAGGCTGCTGGATGGCAGGATATCCACGAATTGTTTTTAAAGTCTCACGCGATCGTTGGGTCTGGTTTAGCAAAGGCTTGTTTATGTGATCATCAAGCCCGTGGTAAAAATGTAGGCTTAGGCCAACATTTAGGGAGTCTGGTTTTCTTATCTAGGATCACCAAGGAGGACCTTGTGGTAGCATATGTATGGTCCCAGGTTGGAAGATAAATGTGGGTATATGGTTACTGTGATCAACAAATCCAATTTTTTTTTCTTTTTTTAATTATTATCTTTATCAAGGCTGGACAAATCCCAGGTTGCCATTAACAAATAATGGCACTGCAAGCATGACGTGTGCTAAATCGCATGATTTTGCATACATTCATGCATGTGGCTACTGTGGATGAGGCTTCATTTGTAGAAGTTGGCATTGTTTTCCTTCATGTGGCTTGATAAATGACATGGCTGCTCATATGTTTGAAATATGACTGAGATCAGACTCCATGCATATATGTTCACCCAGCGAGGATGAGAATTTTCACACAAATGATGTAAAGAATCATGTGAAAAACTTTTCCCTGTTTACTTATTTCTTCTACACATAATTGAAGTGAAACTTCACACAAATGTATTTTGTGAACATTCTCAAATCCTTTGGATCAGCCCCATTATGTAAACGTACTATTCTGTGCATATAGAGTAACTACTTGTTTTCTGCTAAGTATTGTATAGATAGGACAGCATGGAGAAATCGCAATAGTTTTCCATAACCCCTAGTTGGATGTTTATTTCACTTTAATGATCTCTGTGGGCAGTTATTTTCTAGCTCCAAAATCCACCAAAATGGTATGATCTGGTGAATCGCCCCTAATGATAGTCAGGCTCCTTTTTAAGGCAGAGATTGTTGTGCAGTTGCACCAATATGGTACGACAGTCTCCTTGAATGTAGAAAAGCCATACTTTTGAAGGCTGAGCTGAATGATCCAACATTGTTGTCCTTATTGAGATCATTTGCTCTGGAAGGTCAAACAAGTTGAGTGCTCTAAGAAGGAACTTATTTGTGGAATCTGTGCCCAAGAAAAGGCAGGCTAAGGGTAAAGAACTAGTCGCCAATATTCTTGCCTGTGATCTTTATCTGATATGTCCCAATTACTGACTTGTTCTTCACTTTCTATGTGGAGGTGGCCATCTTTGTAGAGGCAGAGCTTTACTTAAAATTGTTAGAACCTCCTGCAAGAACATTTGGCAGCAAAGAAGTGAAGTTCTCAAATGTCTTGCCAAATCTCCCCAAACTAGAAGTCGAAAGCAGCAGCGCCTTAGATCTCACACAGAACATATATAGCTTTGAGACTTGGTGACACTAAACTCAGGAGTTAAAACTTAACAGTGCATTCGAGTACCTTAGCTATAAACATGTAGCTTATTTGTATATCACTCAACTGTAGATCCTCCAATCATCTCTGAATTGGTGCTGACACTGTCCTTCCTTCTGGAGGGTGGCTACTTTTGTTCCCCATGGTCCCTGTCTTGTAAAGAAGCCACCGCTCCAAGCTCACTCTGGTGATGCGCTACAATCTCATGTTTAGTTTAATTGTATTGAGATTGTAGTCCATCACAGGAGTGAGCTTGGAGCGGTGGCTACTTTGCAACACACACACACAGTGACCAAGGGGAACAAAAGTAGCTACCCTCCAGAAGGAAGGACAATGTCTGCATGAATTCAGATATGATTTCAGGATCTGCAGCTGAGTGTAACACAGAGAAGGCTCTGGTATTGTTAATAGTTTAGGTACTTCAATGCAATTTTGAAATGTAACTCTTGAGTTTATTATCACTTGAAAGAAGAGCTCCAGGTTGTAGAAAAATTAGCCATTGCAGTGGGGCAACCCCCACACCCTGAGACCGCCGCAGCTGGGACGGATCCCCGTCATTACAGAGCCAGCTGTCAATCTAGAGGCAGAGCCAGCTGTACCCTCCCCCGTCCGATCCGCCAGTCGGTGCTGGAGCATCGGATGGGGGGGGGGGATCTCTGCAGGGAGCCATGAGTGACAGTCAAGGCTCTCTGCAGGGACATGATCGAGAAGTGAGCGAGCGAATGTATGTGTTCGCTCACTTTCCGATCTATTGAGCCGACGTGTGACCGTTTCATTGTCACAGGTCGGCTCGAGCTATGACATACCTATGAGAACTCAATATTCAGTAATACTCTGGGCATTTAGGAATACATCCAGATTTTTTTTTTTTGCCAGCTAGAACTAGCTCCTTCCCATGCGTGCCTTGTCTTCCCATGATTACAGATGTAATGGTGAGTTACTTTTACACTGACCCATTAACACCGCTTGGCAGATGTATTAACATTTGAAAAACCTGATCTGTAGGTTGAGGATTGAATTTTGGAAGATGTTGTGCCCACTGTATGAAGTGGCTGCTATTGAAATGTATATAGCATATGGCTGGTCTTGTACTGGATAATCGTTATTCTCCCTTTCCCCATGCTATATACAGATTAGGCAGTGGACAACCATCTTACCGGTTTCTCATCTGCTGCCTTCTTATCCTAACAGCTGTTCTGTGGAATATGATAACAACTTGATCAATTGCTGTTCATAGTTTATGCAGCTGGGGGTTTTGGTTTTAAATCATGGACTGATTTCCTGCAACAAGAATCTTAAGGGCCTGTTCACACGACGTCCGTTTTCTGTGCTGACCTGATCCGTACGCTCCTGCACTAAAAATGCATCCCAATGTATCCTTATGTGTCTTATGGGCTACAGTTCTCACGTGCACAGTCCGTTCAGGTTACGACAGAAAAAAATACTGCATGTCGCATGTTGTCCGGTCAGGAAACGGTTCAGAAACGTCAAACGCACTGCAGCTAACATACTGACAGCCCCAGTCCAGCAGTTTTTTTTAACTGGAACGCATCAAAAACGCGCAAAAACACATAGCACCGCTTCTGCAGATCCGCACCTGATCAGGACCTGAAAATCAGGTGAACTGGCCCTTAAGCAATTTAGCAGGTTTTTGGAAAGGCCAACCTCAAATAAGCAAATATTGTCTATATTCAACAGGCATGTATGTTCTTTCTTCAACCTTGATGAGCTTTGTTTTTTCCAGGTCTGCGCTGTAATGTAGAGTAAAACTTTGCATTTGTGCAGGAGCCTCCTGGAATAAAGACCAGTCACGTCTGCTCTCTCTCCCTCTGAAGGGTGACTGGTCTTGTATCTCTCAACCCCCCCTCCGCTAGTCTTCTGCAGGCAGACTGTAGTGCAGGGGTCTCAAACCTCCAGCTGGTCATGTCTGTGGCTGTGAGAATCTTGCAATGCCTCATGGGATTTGTAGTTCCACCACAGCTGGAGGGCCGGAGGTTTGAGACCCCTGCTGTAGTGGATGGACCTCCCAGGCCCCTCCCTCAGCTCTGCTCCTCTGTACTAGCTATGTGTAGCACAATGATGTCACTGCTATTTTACCAAGGTAATAACCGGGAAGGCATTTGGTGGGTTTGGATACTTGTGGCTATTAACCCCTTCGTGACTGACGTGCACCCAAACACCCCATGAGTACAGTGGTTTAGTGATGTGTGGCTGCCAGCCATAGGTGTTTTCAGCTGGTAAAACATTTTAAAATAAAATAGATAATTGACCATTTTCCTTTTTTTTAATCCAATAATTTTCTTTGGACATCCATGTATTTCATGCAGTTTGGCTAGCGTTGTCTGTGGGTATCTCCATAGGAGTTTGTTTGTGTTGTAAAGTAGCCACCTCCCCAAGCTTGTTCCCGTGCTGCACAATAATCATGTTTAGTTTACTAATTTCTATTTAGCTAGTCTTATCACGGGAGCGAGTTTGGAGTGTAAGGCCTTGTTCACACCAAGCGCGTTCCTGGAGCAGAGCACTTACAGACCGCATCAAAACTGCGTCCAATGTATTCCAATGGTATTTTGGGGTATTTTGGGTGCAGCGTTCAGTTCCGGAGCATGTAGAAAACTGCAGCAAGCCCTATTTTACCTGCTCTGGAATGCATGCAAACGCACTGAAACCCATTTTTAACCAAAAACGGCCTGGAACGCATAACACGGCAAACGCAGTATAACTGCACTGCGTGTGCAGAAACTCATGCAGATCGGGTCTGCATTTGGTGTGAAAAAGCCCTTAAGGTACTTGAATGCATTTTTAAGATTTGGCCATTAACCAAAATGTATCTTGTGTATCGCTCAGCTGTAGATTCTCAAATTTGAGGATCTACAGCTGAGTGATACAAAAATAAGCTACATTTTTTACCCTCGTGGGCTTGGGCCAAGGTTGTTGCCCCTCATTGATAGTGCCTGGGGTTAGAATTGCACTTTACAAATGAAAGGTGTTTGTTTTTTAATAGTGTATATCAATGTCCCATCTTCCTCCTACAGGTGGCAGTATAAACCACATGTCTGATAATGCTGCTGTGTCTTTCAATGTTGAAATTTTTCAAGAGAATTGCACTTTACAAATGAAAGGTGTTTGTTTTTTAATAGTGTATATCACAGGATAAATTTTGTACTTTGCTGTCTGGCAAGCGTCTACATTCAAATGAGACAGTAGAGTACAAGTTAAATGAGCCAGTAGAAAGTCAGATGTGAGCGGTTACCAGTTAAATGCAGACAGTGGATGACGAGCCTTCTACCCACGTGCTGTTAAATCTTTTTATTATTAGAACACATAGCTGTGAGGGAATCTGCACATCTGTTCAGTAATATGCTGCAAATTATAAAAAATTAAAATTCTAGCTTATGCTGGTTTTATCATATTCCCTGTACCGTGACTATAGTAAGAGTGGTAACTAAAACAAGAACAAATGGACATGCCCACTACCAAGGGATACAAACTTGTTGGAGGAAGGTTCACAGAAAGAGGATACAGTGTGCAAGCTCTATAAAAAAAACAGGGAGAGGAACCCTGTGGTAACTAAATAAGAACCCGAGCTTGACAAAGAGGCTTCGCCTCGAAACGCGTAGCTACCAACCCCCGTACACACCGCTTCCAACTGCCTCACCAGCATCTCACTGTTTCAGCCATTGCACGTTCTCAACTACATCACGGCTCTGTCTCCCGAGCCATCTGACACACAGACGACTGCTGACAGTGTTTGGATACATAGTGTCCTCGGCCGCAACGACTCAGCCTGGCCAGCTGAGTCTTGGCGGCGCACAGCTGTCCCTCCACCGCAGCTAACGTTCATACAGGCTTTCAGTTTCCTACGCCACCAGACTCTGCCTGGCTGTACTTCCCCAGGGGCTCTACTGGATCTCCTCCGGGGCTTCTGATGACATCTCAAATGTGAGTTTTATATCTGCTTACAATAGTAGCAGCGCTCTCAATACACATTTTCTTTTTTTATATTAAGAGTGGTGCCTAGTCCCTTGTTCTATTGCAGGGATGTGCGATTCCGATCGCCCAATGCCCGGGACATGCAGTTCCAGGCGCTGGGCACGTGGTTATTTTTCTTTTCTGTGTGTATAATATATATCTCTTTCATGGATTTAAAATGTGAATTGTAAAACTCTAAGCCAATATAATAAAATAACCAACCTTTTTATTTAAAATAACACACCAAAAACATTTATTTTTAAAACTTTTAAGTTGTGTTTTTTTTGTTTTTGTTTTGTTTCTGGGAGCAATAGTCAGCCTGCTGTTGGATATTTCAAATTGCAATAGCAGGCTGGCTATTGCACCCGCCCACTGCCTGCTGTCAATCAGCAGAGGGGCCTGAAGGAGAGAGTTCTCTGCTGATTGAAGTTGGCAGGTACACTAGCTAGCCTGCTATTGCATTTTAAAATATCTAATAGCAGGCTGGGTATGGCTCCCAGCCTCCTAGATGCTGAAGAGGAATGGGGTGGCAGTGGAGCCACGGGGGTAGGGGGAGGGAGGGGTGCAGAGGCAGGAACTTGGCATGGCTGAGGAGAACCAAGGGGGCAGTGGGTGAATGCAGGCACAGCAGTCTCTCCTCCCCGCTTGTGCGACTGCACTGCTCTATGTCCCCGCTAACTCTGGCGATGCAGGCGGGGAGAGCAGCGGGAATTGAAAGTGATAAAGACCGCTGCAGCCAGCACCAGCAGGGAAAACGGAGGAGCAGACCGGCGGCAACTAATTGTAAAGCAACTAATAGTTGCCAATGATTGCCATTATCCAATATTTTCTATTTAATTGATTAGTTGTTGCCGCCCTACTGTCGGTTCCCTTTCAGCCAACATTCCTCGATCAGCTGATTGAAGGAGCCGGCTGGAAAATATTTGTACGATCAGAGCCGGTGTTCTATCGAAAGTTCCAACTGGTTGACCTCTCCAACTGGTGATGTCACATTCAGTGACTGTCAGGAGATCTACAGCAGATGGTGCTAGTGCGCATGGCCAGGAAATCCTTGTCGAACTGTCTATTGCCATAGGGCCTGCGCGCGGCTGTCCTTCTATAACCTGCTACAGTTATATTTGTCCTAGGTTATAGAAGCCGATAGCCGAGCAGTGGCTATTGCCTCATCAGATTCTATAACCTAGTCAAAGGTTATATTATGTTTCAGCGCCTGCGCGGCCACAAGATTCTTTACACAACCACAGTTGCCACTGTGTCTGCGCTGCTATTGGCTTCTATAACCTAGGATAAATGAGTTTATTAGTTTTTTTTTTTTTACTAGGTTCTAGAATCCGATGAGCCACTAGCCGCACAGGAGCAGTGGCAACAGTTAGACAATGATTTTCTGCCCATGTGCACTAGCTCCATCTGCTGTACATCTCCTACTGGCAGTCACCGGATGTGACGTGCCAAGTCGGAGCTTTTGATGGAACACTGGCAACTGAGCTGCCTGCTGTTATCGGGTATTCTGACAGGTGCCGGCGGATATCCTGTTTTAGACTGTGAGGTGCCTTGTCATCCTGTACTGGACAGGAAGTCCAAGGAAGCTGAACGTAGAAAGTAAGTCAGCTGTTCAGAATCAGGGTGGCTGTAAGTGCTTGGGGAAAAAACCTTTAAAGAAATACTTTGTTGGGCAATGTGTATTTATTTGATCTGGATTCATTTTTGCAAAAGTTGAGTTTTACTACTATAATTTTTATACCCATAGGAATGGCACCAGCATGATCTCTTTGATCATTCCTCCAAAAGACCAAATTTCACGGGTGGCGAAGATGTTGGCGGATGAGTTTGGTACAGCATCAAACATCAAGTCTCGTGTGAACCGACTTTCTGTACTGGGAGCAATTACATCTGTGCAACAAAGGCTTAAACTCTATAACAAAGGTGGGGGTGTTTTTAATTTGATTTAGCATTTTGGGAATAACGCTCATCCACAAATATATAAAGAAAATGCTAAACTATAAATATTTCCTTAATTACCTTCTTAAACCAGTGGGAGTTCTGCATACTGGCCATACTTTTCTGAATCTGAAATGTAACTTGTAATGAAGTCCTGAAATGTTAACGTATTTGTGACTTCCATTAAATGGGTAGAAAAACTTCTTAGACTTTGCGGCCAAAACATGCTTCTGAAGATGCAACCATGTTAACTATATAAAAATGAAAAAGTACACAACGATGACCAGGTTGGCTGCCTTGCTGACTTGACAACAGATGCCTAATGAGGAAAACCCCAGGATGACTTAATCGCTCTAGTGCAATGGGCTGTAACTTGAAAGGGCTGAGACTGATCCTTAATGGCATAGGCCTGAACAGTTAACTCTCTGTAATGGCCGCTTAACCTTTTCTCTGGCCCTTGGTAGCAATGAAAAGAGATTGTACGAGGATTTAGTGGTGAAGGGAGGATGAGCTCATTAAGGTGAAAACCAACTTCAGTAATAAGGAAGTAGGGATGCACCGATGCCGATACTAGTACGATATCGGTGCCGATTCCGAGTATTTGGGCAAGTACTCCGTACTCGCCCAAATGCTCCGATGCCTAGCACGAGTACTTCCGGTATCAGGAAGCCGGGCAGCGCGTCGTTACACGCTGCCCGGTTTCGCGATTGACCGGGAGGCGGCTCCATGCTCTCTCGTCACATGTGATGAGAGAGCATGGAGCCGACTTCCCGGCCAATCAGGAAGCCGGGCAGCGTGTAATGACGCGCTTCCTGATTGGTCGGGAAGCTGGCCAATCAGGCAGCTGGCCTCGTGAGGTAAGGTTGCCTTACCTTAGTATGTGCAGCCTGTCACCCCTGGGGCCTCTCCTGCGAGAATGCGGCCTTCGTCCGGAGCCGTCCGATCAGGAAGCCGGGCACCGTCTAATGACGCGACGCCCTGATTTCTGATTGGCCGGGAAGCTGGCTTCATGCTCCCTCGTCATCTCATGACAGAGCATGGAGCTGGCCAATCGGAAAGCAGGGCATCACGTCATTACACGGCGCCCAGCTTCCTGATTGGCAGGCCAGACGGCTCCGGCTGGGTACCGGGCGAAGGCCACGTTCTCACTAGAGAGGCCCGGGGGTGACAGGCTGCACATACTAAGGTAAGAGGGGACTTTCTTGTTAATCGGGAAGCCGGGTGGCTTCCTGAATGGGACTTCCGTTACTCCGTAATTGGTATCGGCGAGTACCGAAAAAAAATTATCGGTATCAAAATACCGGTATCGGTGCATCCCTATAAGGAAGGTCTCAGTTGAAGAACCGCATTCTCCATTTGTAAAACCAGGAAGGGAAGCTTACAAGACAAAGCTGCCAATTCAAAAACCCTTCAGGCCAAAATATGGCTACCAAAAAGGCCACTTTCCATGGAAAAAGTCAACAAGGGCAATTCTCATATACTCTCAAAGGGAGGTTTCTGCCAGACCAAAAGTACTAGGTTTAAAATGCATGTGGGCATCGAAGATCTGACTGGGGAAGAAATGTGTAACCCCTTGGATGAAGGCACAAACCAGACACTAAAAGACCGCCAAAGCTGAGACTTGGTCCTTGATAGTACTAAGCCAGCTGTTGTCACACCCCATTGTAGGAAGGCCAAAAGTCCAGGCATGCTAAGATAAAAAGGGACTTGCACCATGAAATGTTGACTTCAGGTACCATGGTTTATCTTCTCAGGTGTAGGCTTTTAACATGCCTTAAACAAAGTAGGACTGGTAGAATCTGACTGCCCCCTGTCCTTTAATGGCGTGGCCTTTGAAAGCCAGCTGGAAAAGCAGGGTGGAAGACTAAATCCTGAGAGAAAATGTTTGGCCTAAGAGGCAGTCTCCAGGAGATGTCCATGAATAGACGCACAATCCCTGCGTACCAATGATGGCAAGGCTGCTCCGGAGCCACCAGAATACCTAGGATTCCTTTGATATTTTTTTTACATTTTTTTCACAACGTGGAAGCCATGGAAGAAGCTTCAGGGCAGGAAACATAGATGAGCTATTACCTGTCCACAGCGCCACCCGACTGTCCCATCACTGCCCAGGGTTTATTTGTCCTGGCCATGAATCTCTGCACTTACCACTTTAGACTGAACACCAGTGTTCCCCACTTCAGGCACATCGGACAAAAGATCTCTGGGTGGAGAGCCCATTCACCTTGATCCGAGCCTTGGCGACAGGTTTTCTGTCTGCCAGTTTTCTACTGCTGTAACAAATTTGAACATGTGTTTTTTTATTTCCTTGGTTTTTATTGGGCAAAAAAAAACTGCTTCCATGTAATCTTTATAACTGCTCGAATTACCTCCCTAGTTTTTAAAATGTTTTGGTTCAGTGATGTCGTGCATTCGAATCGTTGTCAGTCATAATATAATACATAATTTACATATAAAATATACATATTAAGATGGTGCATTTGATCATTTATGTGCGTTTTATTTTTCAGTTCCACCAAATGGCTTAGTTGTGTATTGTGGAACAATTGTAACAGAAGAAGGAAAAGAGAAGAAAGTAAACATTGACTTTGAACCTTTTAAACCAATCAACACATCTTTGTACTTGTGCGACAACAAATTTCATACAGAGGTATGGTGCTAGGGCTTAATTCTTATTGTGTTGGTGTGTTTTTTCTGCTTTAGGACATTACCCTGAAACTAATTGTGGAAAGTAATGTTGATGTAGAGATTAAATGTTTAAAGTTATAATGGGAACTCGTGGTTATAGACGTGTTGAAACATTTTGTATTCTACACACCTGGAAGATCTAGGGTGAGTTTTACATGTGTCTTGTTTAAAATGTAAGCTCTGATAGCATTAGCCTACATGTCAAATGGATGGTAGAGGGTGAATCGGGACGATAGTTATGGTGCTTTATTGTCACTTGTAAAATCCTGCGTCTCTTGCCCTTTCAGTTTTGCATAGTTTGGGGAAGAATAAGACCCCCTTAGGTTTATACGGCTGTGTCTTTTTTAAAGATTTCTTCTCTCAATCATTGTGTTGGAAGTTAAAGGGAAGACTTCTGAAAACGTATTATAGATAGGAGAACTTCTGCGCTGATATATACTTATTACTATGGATGTACCGAAATTAAATTTTTAGACCAAAAATAGAAATTGTCAGGCTGAAACTTGAAAATGACAGTTTAGAAATATATATAGATAGATAGATAGAGCATTTGGAATTAAATGTCTGGAGTCTTGTGCTTCCGTAGTCATGGCTTCTTGCAAGCACCAAAGCTTGTTTCTCACATGGAGCTGATGTCTGGGATGCTGCTGATACGTCAAATACTGATACTTTATCGTCCATCGAGGGACATAGGCTCTTTGGACTTGCACTTGATGCTGTCATTGGCAACGCCTCCATCAGATGGGACATGCTCCTGCCTCAATGTGGGAGGTCTTTGGAAGGGTTGGGGGAACCCTACTCTTCATCTCTTACTGCAAATGTTGCATGCAGGCATTCAGAACCTTCTCACTAAAACGGCAAGGCTCACAGGTCTATCAGCGCATCGGACATGAAAGGTATACACGTTACTTGGCAGGTCTTGGGGCTTCCACCCCAACAATGTCTCCGTGGGACAAATCCTGCAGGCAGTCACCAGTTTCCAGGTGTATATTATTTTTTTATGTATTTGGCAGGGGGGCTGTTAGGCCATTTTTGTGGTGTTGCCTACTCCATAGTTGCACTGCTTTTGGCAATGTACAGCTCAAAGATTAAACTTCCTGTGCCCCTCCATAGCTGAGAAAGAAAATGAGATTTTTGTACACATTGTAAAATCCTTTTCTTGAGTCCACTGGGGGATACAGGTCCCACCTGTCTGTTTTTATGATCAGCCTCTCAAAACTGTTTTGCTACAAAACGTGTGTCCTTTCCCCCCCCCTTTTTTCCCCTCCAGTAGGCAGCGGTATAACATAAAGGATTCTATGGTGTGTATAAAAATTCCCTTTTTATTAAGTAGAACTCGTTAAAGGAAAAATAGAGGTTGCAGCTCAATTATTTGAATGCTTTAATGGTATGGATTAAACATATTTATAAGCCATTTTGCATAATTTGTATGAGTGCATTTGAATATATATAATCCAATAACCAGATTTGATTACCCCTTCCTGATACAAAATGTATGAGTGGGGTAACAGTGTGTTCCTCCTCGGTCATTCTACTGATTTTTTTTCATAGAAAATACAAATATCTGTAAAGGCAACATTGCCAAGAGAAAGCGTTGTTTGTACTGTAAAACAGTATATGTATTTATAAAATGGCAAATTTATCTCAATCAATAGACTTCTAGCTAAAATGTAAAAATTATTTTGGTCCACAAGGAGTTTACAGGTGCTAGAGATGAAATGGTTAAATATATGGAAACTATAATTTTCCTCTAAAATAGACAGCTCCAATTTAATTTTTTCCTCCATTGCTGATAAAACTGTAAATGTTTATTTTTATTACAGGCTCTCACAGCTCTCCTTTCTGATGATAGCAAATTTGGATTCATTGTAATAGATGGTAGCGGGGCACTTTTTGGAACCCTTCAAGGAAATACAAGAGAAGTGCTACACAAATTCACTGTGGATCTTCCAAAGAAGCATGGTAATGTGAAAAGTGTATTTGTAAGTCTGTAACTCTAGACTATTCTAGCCTTTCCCCATTTTTCTTTCACTGTGGCTACTTAAAATTGATTTGGTTTACCAAAACGTAAGCTGGGCAGACACCTGTATAGGGCTGCAACTCGATTAAGCGGATAAAAAATATTAAATGAATACCATCCATCATTTTAAAATAAAATACACAAATGCAGTGTTACAAACATAGTTTACTTCAGAATAAAACTGCATGCACAATTTTTTGCAATCACATGGCATTGCAGTACTGTGCGGGCAATCACACTATGGACGGGAGGCATGTTTGGGGTACCATTTGAAATGAACGGCACTGCAACGCACCTCCCGCAGCAGAATTTGTCAGGCTGAAACCAAAAATGACCTTTTTTTTTTTTTGTATTGTAAGCATATGGCGCCTAAATAGCTTCAGCCAGGGAATGACAGCTGCCAGTGGCAAGATTCCGCAGACCGCAGCTGAATGTAAATAACAGCCGGTAGTGGGCTGGTGCAAATGGCTGGCCTGCTGCTGGCCAGTTCAAATTGCAATAGCCAATAGCAGGCTTGCTGTGCCCACCCACTGCTTGCTGTGCCCTTCTACCAGCATGGAGGAGAGAGCTAGGGGATCCAACCAACTAATGGATGAGAATAGTTGACAACTATTCTCATCAATTATTGATTAGTTGGTTGCAGCCCAACACATGTATTTATTTTTCATTCAGCTCCTTGGACTGAACGAGAAAACATGCTTGATTCCTTCCTTCAGGTCTATTGTATACATGAACAGTGGCTGCTGATGATCCAGCACCAGTACTTCTAGAAGCTGGCATCACATCTTGTCCGTATTAATTTTGCATATTTTTAACCCATATCTTTGTAGCAGCAAGGCTTTCAGTTGCTCCTAGAAAAGCGTAGATTCTCCCTAACTGGATGTCTTGATAGCCACCCACAACACCCATGCCCAAAGAAACTCTGCTTTGCCCAAGCAAACTGCAATTGGAACAAATTCCAAAATAATTGGTCCTGCTGGCGCTCAACTTTTCATTGATAATCTTCAGATAACGTTCATGCAAAATAGTTTATTAAATCCCTGGGGTACATGACCCGGTTATCAGATGTACCATGCTGATATGTGAGGGTTCTCTTGTGTCAGTTTTGTTTACTCTTGAGTGCCTTTCTACCAAATTTCCCTTTTTCTTTTTCTCACACCATCCTTTTCCCTTTCCCTTCATAACTAGGGATGTCACTTTGTCAGGACCAATTACAAGTACCTCCCCTCATATACTTGCCAATACCAATTAACGATACTTTTTTAAAATGATCCATAGTACAACTACGTGTTATGTTCTACGGATCATTTAATCGATTCATGTTAGCAGGGAAGAATTGTAAATCTATTGCAGGAGTGTAGTGGAGGTGTGTGCTGTGTATATATGTACTACATATATACATTACACACATCCAGTACACTATCGCAATAGATTTACAGCCAGCCCTGTCCCAGCTTCCCTCACTCACAGTTTCACTCCGATCCCTGTTGCCTCACGAGGTGCCTCTTGTAGTCGGCGCTGGTCAGGATCGCTGCATTGTGTCTCGGTGCTCAGCTTGTGAGAGGCGCTCACAATTCTGCCCTGCTAACATGAATAGGTTAAATCTAAATCCTAGTACATATACAGCACACATGTCCCGTACACTGCAGTAAGAGATAAAATTATCCCCTGCTAACATGAAAAGGTTAAATGATCCATAGTACATAACATGTAGTTGTACTACGGATCATTTAACCCATTTATGTTAGCAGGGGATCATTGTAAATCTATTGCTGCAGTGCATTCTATATGTAGCACATACAGTACATATTGAATGCACTGCCGCAGTAGATTTACAATTATCCTCTGCTAACAGGAATAGGTTAAATGACCCATAGTACATAACATGTAGTTGTACTATGGATCATTTAACCCCTTCAGATTAGCAGTGCAGAATTGTAAATCTATTGCTGCAGTGCATTCTTTATGTACTGTATATGTGCTACACATAGAATACACTGCAGCAATAGATTTACAATTCTGACCTGCTAACATGAATGGGTTAAATGATCCATAGTACATAACATGTAGTTGTACTATGGATCATTTAACCCAGGGCTCAAAAGTGGAAATAAAGAGAGGGCGAGTGGAAATTCAGTCAGGCACGCGGTCACGGATCGCGTACCTGACTGAATTTCCACTCGCCCTCTCTTTATTTCCACTTTTGAGCCCTGGGTTAAATGATCCATAGTACATAACATGTAGTTGTACTATGGATCATTTAACCCCTTCAGATTAGCAGTGCAGAATTGTAAATCTATTGCTGCAGTGCATTCTTTATGTACTGTATATGTGCTACATATAGAATGTACTGCAGCAGTAGATTGTTCTTGTTCACACAAGCCCAGGCCCCGTCATACTCACTGTTGCCTCAATCGCGGTGCCTCACGATTTTCCTCGCACGTGAAGACATCGTCGGCGCTGAGCTGGAGAGGAGCGTCGCGTCACTGCGGCTCCGGTGGGCAGCGCTCCAAGTGAGGACCTAATTTAGGTGGCTGGCGACTGCCTGGAGCGCCGCCCACCGGAGCAGCAGTGACGCGACGCTCCTCTCCAGCTCAGCGCCGACGATGTCTTCACGTGCGAGGAAAATCGTGAGGCACCGCGATTGAGGCAACAGTGAGTATGACGGGGCCTGGGCTTGTGTGAACAAGAACAATCTACTGCTGCAGTACATTCTATATGTACTGTATATGTGCTACATATAGAATGTACTGCAGCAGTAGATTTACAATTCTGCACTGCTAATCTGAAGGGGTTAAATGATCCATAGTACATAACATGTAGTTGTACTATGGATCATTTAACCCCTTCAGATTAGCAGTGCAGAATTGTAAATCTATTGCTGCAGTGCATTCTTTATGTACTGTATATGTGCTACATATAGAATGTACTGCAGCAGTAGATTGTTCTTGTTCACACAAGCCCAGGCCCCGTCATACTCACTGTTGCCTCAATCGCGGTGCCTCACGATTTTCCTCGCACGTGAAGACATCGTCGGCGCTGAGCTGGAGAGGAGCGTCGCGTCACTGCTGCTCCTGTGGGCAGCGCTCCAAGTGAGGACCTAATTTAGGTGGCTGGCGACTGCCTGGAGCGCCGCCCACCGGAGCAGCAGTGGCGCGGCAAGTAAAAAAATAGCGCACGCTTTTGCGCTTTGTATCGGGCCATTTTGACAAGTACTTGTCAAAATGCCCTGTATCGGTGCCGATGCTAGTACCGCTATCGGGACATCCCTATTCATAACCTATTCTTGCCTCCTCATATTGTCTCCTTCCTTATGTTCCTATAATGACAATCTCCTATTATGGAAGCCGAGACATTTTGCATTACAGTATGTGTACAATCCTAATGAATTTTTGTCCTGACTCCTTATCTTTTTTTGCATCTTTATAATCGAGGAACCCTGCTTTGGGTTACTCCTATTGCTGTCGTGTTCTCCTGTATATCTGTTGACCTAAACCCTGATATTCAATTCTTTGTACTTGTACTGTGAATCCCCTGGAATGTCCATAATGCCAATCAGTAATGCAAAGACTGGATAGGGCATGTCCCCATTAAGTGACCAGCACTGTCGAGTCAGCTGTGGGTGGTAAGGGCTTGTATCTAACCAAGTACCCCGTGGGTCTTAAATTTGGGGTTTCAGCGACTAGAGGGGTTCTTGGTTCCCCTCAGTTTGCATTTGGTGCCATTTCTATGGGATCCATGTGTGGCTCAAGAAGGTTCATTGGGTTCTGTCCCTTTTTTATAGAGGATGCTGTATCTATATTACATCCCTTCTACCCTTCACTCCCTACCCAGGAGCCTCCAAATTTCCTTCTAGGGCACCCTCCTTATCCTGGACTGTGCTCTTCGAGGGCCTGCGGGCGGGGGGCATAAGTGGCCCTCCTCTCCTTTTCTGTTCAGTCTCCCTCTGACCTTTTTTTGTCTGCTTGTGCACTCCTAGAGGAAGATGAAGGGGCTGCTTCTAATTCTGTGGAATCAACCCAGGAAGGGTTTACATCTCCCATTCTCAGACACTGACTGTCTTTGTGCATGTGGTGCATGATTTAACAATTGGAACTGCCTGCACCAACCTTGACAAACGTCACTAGTCGGGGTTCTCTAAAAATGCTAAAACCTTTTTTTGTAAATGTGCTTTCACAGCTGGCGTATGGTAACTGGAATCACCCTGAAAAACTTTACCTGAATGGTTTGCTTAGCAATACCCTATTAAAGAGGGTTTTCTTTAAAATATGGGCTGTCCCTGTTGCTGCAGCCATTTCTTGTTTTAAACAAGACGTTAACCGTTGCTATTGAAGATGTTCCTTACATAGTTACATAGTCAGGTTGAAAAAAGACACAAAAGAAAAGCCTAAACAGAACACTATGCCCACAATTACCCAATGTTGATCCAGAGGAAGGCAAAAAAAAACCCTATAAAGCACTGTTCAATTTGCTCCAACAGGGGAAAAACGGATATTCCCTGGATCAACAATCTCTGATGCTTAATATACCTCTAAGAACTCAATATCCAGTAATATTCTGTGCATTTAGGAATACATCCAGATGTTTTTTTAAAACAATTAACCGAGCTAGCTAGAACAAGCTCCTGGGCGAGTCTATTCCACATTTTCACAGCTCTAACTGAAGAATCCTTTCCGTATGCAAAAGTTAAACCTCCTTTCCTCCAGACGCAGAGTGCCCCCTTGTCCTTTGCAGTGACCTTAACGTGAATAATTTGGCACCAAGCTTTTTATATGGACCATTTATGTATTTATACATGGTGATCATGTCCCCCCTTAATCGCCTCTTCTCCAGAGAGAACAAATTCAGGTCAGCTAATTCCACAACATCCAGTTCCACAACATCCTTTTTGTGAACTAGTGCCCAAAACTGAGCGGCATATTCCAGATGAGGTCTTACTAAT